TGCATTATATGAGCAAACATACCCAAATATCATATATCTATGTTTGTACGCATCGTTTCGATCCGATCTTTGCTGTTTATTTAGGCCCTTTTCTTAGTTTGAATTCGAATTGTCTCTTGCTATATCTGGTTTAGTGCCGCCTTTTGAACTTTATAATTCTTTTTCTCTTGCTCTTTTCTTCCACTGTTCCTGGTTTGATTCCTCTTTCCATTTGCATGTGTTTGCGCTCCACCAGAACTACTGCTGCTTTGTGGGTTTGGTGGTTGTAAGCCGATGCAAGCTGGGCATTGCCAACGATGAACTGGGTCGTCTCAGGCCATGACAGCTAGAAGTGTGAAACCCTCGTTGTCTGGAATTCCAATAGACGCGAAAGGGAAGGAACAGCTTAGCTCTAAACCAATTACTGCAATATGATGAAGGGTGGACGTAGCCAAGGACGGGTGATCGTCTCTGACCATTGGAATGCGCGGTTGAAGATTTTTGGAATCTGTTGTTCGAAGAGATATATGCGAGTAAGAGATACAGCGGTAGCTTATGGGTTCTTTCTCTACTTGTTTGTGTATTTAAGAAGGAGATTTGGCGATGATTTTAGGTGTGAAATAAATGGCAAGCTAAGAAGTCGATCAGGATTGAGGGAAAAATTCTTATGGGGAGTCTCTCATAAATAAGTAGCAATCATATGCCTTCGAAGAATGGTGTAAAGTTTTGTTTGATACATTTCCTTGGAAATCACCTGAATAAGTTAGTTTCAAAGTTTAACGTAGAGGCCTTGTGTGAATATTTGTTTTAAAATAGTAGGATACAAACAATTCGTGCGTACAGAAAGTATCCAGGTGGCTGTTCGTTGTGTGTGTTCTTTGGATCCTCCATTTCTTCTTCACCATATATTTGTATCTCCGCACTAGGTTCCTTAATGGATTGCTAGGTCGGGGTTCTAGGCCATCCTCAAGAATTAGTATATGCTTCATCTAGGTCTCCTGACCAATAAGATAGCGAAAAATATAGGCGCCGTCAAAACGAGGATTCGTCCTTGATGGTATGTTCCTTAGCATCCGGTTGTCAGTGGGGGAACGTTTTACTGTCTCATACCTTGTCTATGGCAAATTAGGGGTTCAAATCTTGGACTATGATATGATGATCTGATTGTGCTTCTCATCATGGATGGTACTTAACTCTATCAATGATATTTTAGGGCATTTTGTATTGCTTTCAGTAAAGGTTTTAAATTGCTTGCTTTTTTTTCCTAGCCATTGAGCAAGTTTTCTGATAGAAGTTTGGATTTTTTTTGGTCGATCAGGTTCGTTTTCGGTTGCTATGAATATTGTCTTTTGTTATGGAGTTTTTGTTCTTCAATGAGGGTGTGATAGTATCTTCTATCGGTTTTAGTAGGATCGGATGTAAGGAGTTAGGCAGAGCTCCTTGATTGGTGTTCATAGTTGATCTCTTTAGGGCTAGTCTGAAGTAGTGCTCTCTTGATGAAGGCCCTATCAAACAAGGGCAAGGATTTAAATGGGATGTCAAAAGGCCTAAGAAGTTTTTTCTAATTTCAGTCAGTGAGGTGTTGCTGTGATTGCGCTTTGATGAGAGACTACAGATAACAGGTTGATGTAGCTGAATCTATGCTTTTGCTTGGTTACTCATGCTCTTAATATTTCTCTATTCCCCTTAAATGCTGAGGAAAGTGCATTAGCCTAAATTAATTCCGTTATCTAGTGAAAATATGCTATGACAATAGAAATAATTTTTTATGGTGGGAACTATGTTTTGATGAAGGAAATCATGGTGAATGGACGAAATGACTACAAAAATCTTAGATGATCGAATAACATAGGAGAAAAGAACACTGGCATGGACCAGTTGAAATTTTCAAGGGAAAATAGGCTATTACAATAATCAGAATTTGTGTGTTTGTAACTATTTTCTGATGAATAAAATCATAGTTGATAGACGCACTGAGTGGTAAAATATTGGGAGAAGAAATACATTGGTGATACATTTTGTTGAAGTTAGAGTTGAGAAGCACAAATTGCTCAAGCATCTCTGCATTTAAGTGTTGGTTTATCAGTTCTCTGTTTTTTGGGTTACTTTTTGATGAATATCCTAGTTTCTTGGAGCATTTTTTGTCTCCATATTACTAGTCGAGCTGTGGATATTAGCCATTTTAGGTCTTCTGAAAATTAAATTATTTTTATGTTCAGCTGTAGATAATATGCACAAATATCCAAGTTTCAATGCCATTTTCTTATCATGCTGCCTTGAAAACCAAGTACTTTTTACGTAGGTTTCATAAATATTTGTATTCTATGTACTAAATGAAAGTCAACATACATGCAATGGTGCTAGTTGCATTATGGGGACCTTATATTAGATCATATTGATTTTTGTCCAAGAGAGAGGTTAACCGACGGTCTTCAAACAGAAAGAGACCAAATCGATGGTCTTCCTCTAGCAATTTGAGTTTATGGGTTTTTAGTTTATGGGAGGGAGATGGGACCCTCAATGGGTGAGCATATCACCTCTTTGACTTAATATGTAGACTGCTGCTGATCAATGTCTACTAGTTATTATTTTTGTTTGGATAGTCATGCTTGCATGAAAGAAGTTTGATCATGATGCAATTGTCTGAAGTAGCTTCTGCTTGATACAGTTACAATAGATAAATTTATCCCATATTCCACTGGATTGTATTTTTCTTGAAGAATTTGACACTTCGAATGCTAAAAATACGAAGAAAAATATAAAAGGTAGCGTTTTGATACCTGGTATCCGTTTAATTTCTTGAAGTATTATCCTTTGGGTAAAATAGTGCTATTACTTGCAAAAAATGTGGCAAGTATCATGCACTGGTGATGTTTCTCTTCAGAAACCTATGATTTGTTTTTTGCACAAAGTAGTTAAACACAACCCAATATTTGGTCTTCTTTCCTCAGCCTATGTATTCTGAAGATTGGTTGTTGTTCTTTCCTTCAAAAGAATTTCCTAATAATTAGTGTTTCTTGGAAATTTGCATAGGGTACCTTCGAGCATTTGACTTGTGGTTTGCAATTGTGTTAAGATGCTCGATCCTTTCACTCTCTTCTCGTTTGGTTCTTACTTATGTAGAATATGAGATGATAATTCCTCGCAAATGAAATTAATGTAGATACAAAATTTAGTAACCTGAATGAATAGACGTTTGCTCCATCAAATTGCTCTAGTGTGTCCCGTACTTGGAGAGTAAATTTCATGTTATAAATTTTTTGTTAACAATCTCTGCTAAATTTCAGGCAATGGTAGGAAGTTTAAATCCTTTGGAGAATTGTTGACTTCTAGGACGGGTTCCTACTGTAAAATTATGAGCAGATTGATCGTCTGTCAGGACAATGATATGCATGTTCATTAGATTTGGACAAGGCAAATGATGGTGAAATAGATGAATTCAGTACCAACACACTTTAGAGGAATGTGTTACCAAAGAGGGCAGAAAGATGTAATTGAAATATGGAAAGGAGGTGTTCAGTGTTAACTCTTTTATGAGGGTACATACATATCCTTAACAAGTGTATTGTGGCTGGTTTTGTCATAGGAGACTATTGATCATGCCTTTCTGAGATGTGGGAATATGAATTTGTTGTGGGAGATTGCTTTTAATATAGTATCTGTCAAGTTAGTAGCCACTGAGACAAAGTGACCTAGTGAAAACCGGGATACCATATACCCATTGGTCTCTGATTTAGATAATGTGGTGTTCCTATTAGCTAACCTATGGGCCATATGGAGATAAAGGAACATCAGAGGGTTCTTAAAGAAGTTCAATGATGAACAATACACAGTCTCATAGCACTGCTCAAGGTGGTCACCGGCACTGGAAGTGGATGATGAACTTCGATCAAATCTGCTCTTACCAGCAGATTTGAACTTATGGGTCAGATGGAGAGAAAGAAACGGCCTATGGTTCCTGCAGAAGTTTAGTGATGTGCAGTATACCACGTGATGGCACCGCTTTTATCGAGGTGCTCAATAGCTGGAGTTAGATTTCAATTGAAGTCACTGTTTATGATGAAGAAAAAGAAAGGCCTCTTGTTCTGACATTCAGAGAACTACAAACACATAACTAACATGGTAGAAAAGCTTGTATCCAGGTGGTTAAGAGCAATGAAATGGGGCATGAATTTTATTCAAGCCTGGTGATTATTTTTCTGTTTTTCTCATATTTACTTTTCGTTCATTTTTTTATAATTGTGAAAAAAGCCATCAGAGAAAGAAAATAAGCATCTAAATAGATAAGAATCGATGTCATCTTGTACTTGGGAATGGTGAAACAAGTCCTTGGCATAAGTTACAAAATCGTTATGGGAAAAAAAGACGTTACAGAGTGTGAGAAGTGATGTCGTGTGATGAAAAACCGTTGAGAGCTTCCTCTGTATATGCTTTAATGGTTTATATCATTTTTTTGCGTGGTTATGTGATAAATCTTTTTGCAACGTCTTTCATCTTTTGCTGTAAATTCGTGGGTCTGAAAAAATAATTTCCTCACACATTGGTGACTTACACTTCCTGTCTAGAAATTCCCATATCTTCTTAATGGCAGTTGTATTGTAGATAACGATGATTATCATTGTTTGTGATGAACCTAAAGAAATAAGTTGAATTGTTTCGAGAAGCACGCTGCAACGGTTTATGTTTGTCAGAAAAACTGTTTTTTACTTTTTATCACGATCTTCTTTTAAACTAAGTGTAAGATGGGACATTTATGAAAGCAATGAGTTAAATGTGATAGTTCAACCTTAAATGCTTATAATTGTCATTGTGAAGGAATCTAATCTTGAAATTCGTGTTCATTGACAGATTTTTTTTTTCCATGTCCATGCAGGTTGCCTAGATCTGGGTTGAGCTATTTGCAACTGACAGACTTTCAGTTTCTGTAGGAGCTTCTGTTCCCTCTTCATTTGAAAGGGGATAGTTGAACTACCTTTCAGTGTTGGCAGCCTAAGATTCTGAAAGCCAAATAGTTGCTTATTATGCAAGGGCAAAGGAGCACTGTGGAATCGCTTCCTGAGGCATTTGAGTTTGATCATTCTCCTGGTTCTAGCACCTCTGCCATTGAACAACAAATTTACTGGACTAACGTACTCAATCCTACTGATGTCCAAACATTGCCAGGTTACTTGATATCACCTAGTGAGGCAAACATGCCATATGACAGTGAGGTTAACCATGAAATAGAGGGTTTGAATGGCTGGAACTCGGGGGGATCTAGCGCTAGTGACCATAATGCAACGAATGAAAATGGTCATGAAGAATCCAAAATGGAAAGTGGATGCATGTTTTCATCGGCAGCTGGTGCCAGAGGTGGTCTGAGGTTGGAGGAAAGGAGACTGGATACTGCTCGTGTGCTCTCTCTGGATGTTGGTATCAACCTCAACAGGACTCACGTTGCAGAGGATCAAGTATTTCTGCAAAATTCCAGTTCTGATGCTGCTGCACTGAACATTGGTTGCGATGCAAGTTCAGCAGGTGGTGGTGGACTGGTTTCACAAACTGGCATTTGTCCTCTTTACAATCCCTATATACCACAAGCAGAGCAGGTTACTTCTACCAGTGGCTCTTCTAATCCCTGTGGAACTTCTTGCAGAGTTGCTGGCAACTTGTGTGAGAGTTCTGGTGGTAGACTTGGAAGTTCCTTGGAGGGTCGGCGCTTATCTGGCAAGAGAAAGAGTATGGAGGGAGATTCCGGTCAGTCATCAGGTAGTGGAAGCCATGTTTGCTTTCAGCAGACAGAGAATGGCTTGTTGCACAATGTTTCAGCAAGAAATGTATCTTCTAGCGGTTTAAATGTATCCACTACTCTAGAGAACCTTACCGGTGTCAATGCGCATGAAGAACATTTGAGCTCAAGATACAATGCTGCTGGAACAAGAGGGGAACCATCTGAATGCCGTTCATCTATTAACGTAGAAGAGAATGCCGAGAGTTCTCATAGAAATTTCCGAATGAGTATAAACCCTAGCCTTGCACACCAAGCTGATGCATCTGCCCCTGATTGGCAGCCTTCGCTGAATTCTAGTAGGCAACCCACCATTTGGTCACCCCATCAATCATCTTCACTCATACCAGGTAATCAATCTCTGGAAGCCAGGTTAACAACGCCAAGTACAAATTCCCAAGGTCAACCTCAACAACTATCAGTTCATGGTTTTCCGAGATTAGTGCTTCCATTAACAAGGAATGGGATACCTGGTTCAAGAATCGGCAGCTCTTCGAATTCCCTGCCAATTTCAGCTGAGAGGCCAGCCATTTCAAGAGAGGAATCAAATTCTCGGGGTACAAGGAGGAATAATACTTCTGAACACCCAATGTTTGGCTCTACAACTGAGCCAAGAGTTGTTGCGCAACTCCCTGTTGATTGGAGTCTGGCCAGTACCAACCTTAACATCTCTGGAACTTTACCTTCTTCTTCACATGTTGGCTCTAGCTCTGGAGCCCATCCGTCAATTACTCCAAGGGTACATTATCAAAATCTACCTGCTCAGCACCCACGGTCTCTGTCAGAATTTGTCCCTCGGGCCTTTCCTACTGCTGAATCTGATCCTGGTGTTCAGCTCAATAATATGCTTCCGCAACGTTCGGTTCATCCAAATTCTCCTGAAATCGCTCCACTACCTGGAGTTGGCCTTCGTTCTCATCCACATCCACTCCTGAGATCGGCATTTCTGATGGACAGGCGAAGTGGTGTTATGGGTGCTCCATTAGCCTTGCGAACCTTAGCTGCTTCTCGAGAAGGAAGAAGCAGAATGATATCCGAGGTTTGTTCAGTGATTGGTCATCCAAAATTCACTTCATCGTACTGTCATTATGGTTTAAATATCGGTAGATTCATGCATTCATGACTGGTGAGATTTCTGTGATTATCATCATCCTTTTTTCATTATTGCTGAGGAACCGCATCTCTGTATTTATTAATAAAAGTGGTCTGCCAACTGAGCATGCATTTGGTTCAAGAGAGGGCAATATATGGTATGAGGATGTGGAATGAAGATCTTATTGACAAGAAAATTAGCTTGTGCGAGAAATAAGAAGGTTGGAGTGAAGAACTGATTAAGTCTGTCATAACTGCTGGAACTTTCATGGGAAAGTTTCTTGGGGTGACTTGCTTCTGCTTAATCTGAAATTTCTAACTTCCTTTTTTCTTGGGGGGGGGGGAGGGGGAGGTGGTGATTATAAACCATGCCATTGCCCATGATTTCAAGAAGCTTTGGATGGTTTCATTGTCCTCTAAGATAATAGATGAAATGCTGATGAGTGAAGCTGGGATGCTAAGTTACCATGCCAAGTTGCACATTGAGATGCTTGCCACGTCACTTTTGCAAACCTTGCCCTTGTTCCGTTCGCAGTTCAATGAGCAGTGTTCTTGTTTTGATGGTTCGCATGCTACTGTTCCTATGGGGGATCCTTTATTTTCCTTGTGCTGTGAAAATAATATGCCCTTGACTTTATTCATATCATGGTGCTTTCTATCTTATTCTTATCTTTAAAAATCTTTGGGAAGAAAACTTAAAAAGTCATTCATCATAGGTTTTACTAAATCAATCTAGGGTCTTCATAGGATGTAGATAACTCTAGTAACAAGTTATGAACTTTGTTCTGCAGCTAGCTGCTCTTGCTTCAAGCAACGTTTATAATTTAGTTGAAAACGTTTTGACTGTAGAAGTAATTCTGGTTGGTTGTATGAAACCCTGAAAGAGACAAGAAATCAGGGCGTATAGTTTGGGTCTTTCCCCATGTTAGTTTCAAGTCACTACCACCATTTTGGAAGGAGCTTTTTGCAGGAAACCGAGGTCCAAGACGTGGGCTACCTTTCTGATTTTTGCCGAATATTTTCTCAATAGAAGTTAGAGAAATACAGTTAGTGAAAAAAATGTAATTCCCTTATCAGTCTAGGGATGTCCAAAATAATATAATATATATTATAACAGTAATGATACAATTTTTTGAGGTGGGATTTTTGCATACATTTTAAAGCTACGAAGTTCTAAGTACAGCAATTGATTGTTGTCGATCAATGGCTTGATCTTAAGGTGGGATGATCAATGGATTGTTCCATATTTTGGCTTCGTGATCCTTGGCACTTTCCAGTATCTATTAATTATCTTTTACAGGCCTAATTTAAATGAGACATGGTGATGGAGGGATATTTATTTTTGCAGTACGAGCTCAGAAAATTTCTGACTGAAAGGAGACAATGAAGCTCTATAGCTTGAAGGCTCAGATCTGCCTATCTTAGACAGCTAGCTCGGATATGCTTTTTGTAGCAGTGTTAGTTCTTGATATGGGCAAGATGCTTACATGGATGTCTCGGTTGCACCTCAAACATTACTCTTACTTTATATGATCGCCAGATAATCATGTCTACGATGTCTATGAAAATATATTTGAATGATTCATACTTTCCATATGCTTAGTTCAAGAAGATCCTACAGGGAATATACGCATAAAATGTTGAGCAGTCGTCAATATTTCCATGTTTCTCTTTGGGATATGCCCTTCTCTTTGGCCATCTATTTTCTCCGTATCTGTGCTAAAAATGACGTAACCGGGAATGGGGAAGAAATCTAATAAAAGTTTGGAGGAGGAATAGGACTAAAGCTTCATATAACAACGTTGAATGAACTGATATAATTAATTTCTTGATATCGTTGTCAGTTATGGTTTGCCATCTGTTTACTTTCTCATAGAAGTCAAACCCACAATACCTTACCTGCTTTTTCTCTGTGCAGCACATTCGCAATGCCCTTGATCTGATGCGTCGTGGCGAGAACATAAGATTCGAGGTGTGTTCTGAAGCAGATGATTTTGATCCCGATTTTGGTTCGACTGCTTCGAATCTCTCGTGTAGGACTGAAACCAAGATTTGGGTTGACTTTCCCTGATTTTGATTCCTAGATCTGCTTGTTTTGTTACTTTTTGAGCCACAAATTAATTGTCCTTGTTTCAATCGCCCCGGGCGTCCTAGAGTTGATCGGCTTTAACGAGTTGACTTTTGCTCATGCTAACTGGGCAGGATGTTTTGATTCTTGACCAGTCTGCATTCTACGGGCTCGCTGATCTGCACGACAGGCACAGAGACATGCGGCTTGACGTGGACAACATGTCCTATGAGGTAAACACTGGCGGCACGGCCCAGCCATCTGGTTTCCTCTTACTGGGCACTGACGAGGGTAGCTGTTGTCTTGTGTCAGGAGCTGCTTGCATTAGAGGAGCGCATTGGGAACGTGAACACTGGGCTGAGTGAGGAGACGATTCTGAAGCACTTGAAGCATAGGAGGCACCTTCCTCTTATGGTTAAATCCCCTGATGATGCCACCCTCGAACCCTGCTGCATATGCCAGGTAAAAAAATAGAAAAGAAAAGAAAAAAAAAAGGAGAAATCTTTTTTCTGGGGAGATCATTGTTCTGGGGTTGGTATCCTGAAAATCCAAGAATATATATAATTGATAATGCACCCAAAGTCCCCTCGAGCTGGTCGATTTTGGGATGCATTGGGTGAGTTGCCCCTGATCGAGGTCGAATCATCCAGTTCTAGACTGAATCCGCTCCCCCATTCACTGACGGCAGATTAATTCTCTGGGTCTTTTATGCTTATTGGGTTGACTTCTTGCTTTCTGAGAATATAAATACTTTTTATCACACACAAAATCCACCTGGGCTGGTCTATTTTGGGTTTGAATGGATTGGGGGGATCTGATTTGGGTCATCCAGTTCTAGGCCGAGCCATTCCCCAATTGGTTCTTTCTTCACTGAACGTGCACTCTTTCAACTTTCTGCAGGAGAATTACGTGGATGATGAGGAGATCGGGACGCTGGACTGTGGGCATGACTTCCATGCAGCCTGCATCAAGCAGTGGCTGAGCCACAAGAACCTCTGCCCAATTTGTAAGATGACCGCATTGGTTACATAAATTAGTCTGCACAAGAAGCTCACTCCCCTCCCAAAATTAAGGAAGATTTGGGAGGGTGACCTGAGTTGAGCTCAACCCCCCTTCTCTCTCTCTCTCTCCCGAATCAATGAGTGAGTGACCTTCTTGGATTCTCCATGCTGGGTTTTGACCATAAGACTAAAATAGCAGTATTCGTATGTCTGCTCTCTCACATTTTTTTTTCTCTCTATGGACTATTTTTTTTGGCTGACTGCACTGATTATTCCAAGGTCCACAGCCACCACATTCTAGTTCATTTAATTATATTCCAAATTTGGGAAACTTTTACATTATTGTGTATGTGTGCATGTGTGTGTGTGTATAATGTGGTCGAATTCTTCTTCTCCTTGAAGTGGAGAGCGTCAGGGAAAGGTGCTCTCCTTTTTACGCATGAAAGGTATAATAAAGTGATGGGATTTCCTTCTACTGAATAATTCAAGGGTATCATCGTCATTTGACATCAACACATCTTCTCCACTTGAGGATGCATGATATTCTCATAGAAATCAAAGTGGCTCATCGCAATTCACTGATGAGGGTATTTATGTAGAACTTAAAATTTGTGGGTGAATAATTCCAAGGCGTAGCCTCAAGAGTTAGAAGGGATACGTTTAGGTAGGTATAGCTTGTGACCAATAAAATTGCCTCTTTTAGAAGCCTTGGTAAATTTTTTTTGCTGGAGAGGTCTTGTGCAAGTAGATTATTGGTCTAACATATCTTCTTTTCTGGGGATTTAGAACTACTTTCAGTTTTTATTTTTATTTTTATTTTTCCTCTATTTGTCTATTTAGGAAACCCATTGGACATCTAGTGGACCTCATTTCTCAATCCTTGTGAAATGGAGAATCACTCCTATCGTTTCCTTGTGGATTTGAACGTCCAATTCCGTCCTTGTATTGTCTGAAGAAGAGGGTTGGGGAGTCAGTAGTATTTTACCCTTTGGCTCCTTTTCAAGGAAGCCGCTTCACTTCACAAAATAAATTAGAATTCTATGAAGATCAACTTCTGGTTTATTTTAAGGGTATCTTAGGCATCTTTCTCTAACATTAGCGGGGTGTTAATCCTTTTGGGGAGCCATTCACTCTGAATGGAATTATCTTGAAGTGTAAGAGGACTTTCTAGGAAAAAGGTTCATCCTAAGGGTATTTTGGTCAATTTCATCTCCCCAAAGCCCCCTTTAACTAAGGGGCATTAATTTGGTAGAAAGGGCTGCATGCCAATCCAAGAAAAAATGGAATGATCGGCTGGTTAGTAGCCAATTAAGTATCTTAGCAAGGTCATTGGAGTTGACATAATAGAGACAAGTCAAATAGGATAGGATCATGGATCCAAGGTTTCACTATTTCCATTTAGTCAAAATGTACCCTCTAATTCATTCAATTCTAGTTTTTGATCGGTGGAGGCAAAAAAATACAATTCTAATACACAAATTAGTGACTAAAAGAATAAAAAATGTCTTTACTGTATAACTAAAGTTATATAAGAATTCTTGGATCCAAGGTTTCACCATTTCCAATCAGTCAAATTTTACCTTTTAATTGATTCAATTCTAATACATAAATTAAGCAGCGGAGGGAAAAACTACTATTCTGATACATACATTAGTGACTAAAAGAATATACAATGCCTTTATTGTGTCACCAAGTTATATAAGAATTCTTGAATTCAAGAATTAAAATAAGTTTTCCGTTACCCAGTATAAAATAAAAGTGACCAAAACACTATTTGACTTCTCATGCTAAAAAAATATATTGCTCTCTATCTCTCAAAATGGGATTTTTTTGACACCAAACAAAGACATTCTTGCCTTGTTCTCAATAACTTTCAGGAAATCTTGAACATGGGATTTCGTTTTTCCTTGAAATAATTTGTTGCAGAGGAAACTTATATGAATCATTAACATGTTCTATATAAGCTCTATCTAGTTAGTCTGTTTTAATTTTTCATCTCCCTATTTGGGGGGTATAATGTGTATATGATAAGTTTTCTAAACCATTAGCAAAGTATTTTTTTTTCTCATTTCCCTTGAGGATTCAAGGGATTTTCTATTCTTACATGACATTCACTATCCCTTAATAGTTAATTTATTCTTTTATTTTAGAGTTAGTTTTTTCATCACATATATTTTATTAATAATAAAACAAAAATGATAATTATGATTTTTATTATTTACACAACAAAGAGGGGGAATCTATTATGTGATAAGTAAAGGTGCCTTTGAAAATGAACTGCTAAATGAACTCTACATAAAAAAATATAATATTATTTTTGATAAGAAAAGAGGGCAATTTGATTAAATCAAAGTTGTTGAGATGGAGGACAATCTTTATTTTATTAGTTAATTTGATTTGAGCGATCAACATGATATTTGGATGAAACAAATGAGAAGAGCGTCTGATTTGACCCAACTTATAACTTCATCCCAATGAGTACTTCATGATAATTAGTACTTTTTTGACTAATTAAAAGTGTGTTGGGCATGTTTGCATGCCATTATAACCCTTGGGTTATTGTGGTGAAGAACTGCCATCTTTTTCAGGGTTTGCTTGCATGCATATGTTATCAAGAATTCCAACCTCTTTTTTCCACCTCTCTTACACACGACTCAACATTCATGAAGGATGTCCTAACTTCTCTCTCTCTCACACACACACTCTCTCTCTCTCCCTCCCTCTCTCCACCTCTCTATATCACTCCATGTCTACATGTCTTATTATGTGGTGTGACACATATTCCCTCTCTCTCTCTCTCTCACACACACACACACACACACTACCTCTCTATATCTCTCCGTGTTTCTCTAAGCCTATCTTATTGTGTGGTGTGACACACACATTCCCTCTCTCTAACTCTCTCACTACCTCTCTATATCTCCCCATATCTCTGTGTCTTTCTCATATCGTGTGGTGTGACACACATTTCCCATGTTTCATCGCATCTTCACAAAAGTCTTTGGACCTGTTCATCTAAAGTCCTTAAAAACTGTCAATCTCTCCCTCCCTCTCTCTCTCTCTCTCTCTCTCACACACACACACACACACACCCCTCATTTATGTTACATTGACACATGGGGTTGCGGTTGCAGATATACTTCATTTGAGGGGAAAAGCCAAATACTTGATAGGGCCAGTAGTTATATCACAAAATTGTATCCAAAGATATACCTACTACTTTTAAACATTATAAATAATAGAAAACATCTTCTTTGCTCTTATAATGTGGATCCAATCACGATTGACCGAACATGAAAGCTGTCACAATCGACAACCATCACGATCAATAGTAATACACCAACAAAAAAACACATAGAGCAATGCATGATAAGCTAATTTTTTTTAAATAATGGTAGAGGAGAAAATGGAGGTGAATCGCCACAATTAACATGCTTGACGCTGAAAATGAGACTGGACGTTTTAACATGGGTACTTATGATAAAAACTCCAAATACATCTTGACTGGATTCTAAGATGCATCAAACTCCAAAATCAAGCCTAGATTAAGATGGTATGAATGATCAAGAATACCAGTGAGCTGACCGAATTCAAGGGAGCGTGGGTGATTCCATCAATGAAGAACATTATTATACATGGTGGTTTCCATTGGACGTATACTACCTTCTTTGATCTTTTGTAAAGGGATCTATAGTTCAAGGCATGAGATTCAACCTAAAAAGGGAGACACCCAATGAAGGATTAAATGTTCTGAAGAAGTGTCCCAAACATCAAGCGAAGATGAAAATTAAAAAATGGATGAAGTCGGCCTGAAAAATCCCTCTGTGAACATTCCAAAAGGGTTCCTCCCTCGGTGTATAATGAATGCTCCTGGTTTTTCACAAAGGAACATCTAACATATCAGGCAAGGACAACACCAAGGAATTCGAGAAAATGAAGATTACCAAGTGAGGGTCACTTGAGAACAATCATCAGAGTGAAGGGCTTCTTTATAATTGAGAGGATATACGGGAAAGATACTTCACCTCTGGTTTTGTCTAGACGGTTCCTTGAGAGGAGGGCGTTATTACATAAATGCTGCTTCATGTACGATCTCGCTCAGGAAGTCATAGGCCTCCCTTGGGCTGAATATCCGAAGGGTCAATAAGGCCTTCGAGGATGACGAGCTGGTCAAGAAGGGCGAATTTCTCATCTTCCAGAGTCTTGATTGTGCCGTCAACCTCACTCAGTTCTCTGTCCAAGACGAAGCTCTCTTCCTCCAGCAGTAAATATCTTCTCCTCAGGGTCCGGTACTCGTTAGACATTGAGGGGTCTGGCAAGGAATCAGGGGCCGACCCATCTGTCTCTTGGAAGGATGAGAAGAGATCAGCCTTCAGAGCCCTCTTTGAGGGCCTTGGCATTCTGAGAGATGAATGTGGCGTCTCCTGCTCCTTAGCATCCACCTTTGGTTGAGCTGATGGCTTCCTTCTCCGTGGTTTAGGTTTTGATGCATTTGTGGTTGGTGCTCGAAGTTCATCCATTTCTGACCAGCAATGATGGTATATATGCCTGTGGAAAAACAACTCCCAAAAGGAAGAGAATAAGGTTACTGCGAAGATAAAACTATAATTGAGCAGAAAAGAAAAGGTCATTATTTTCATCTTAGATCTCGTCCTTCGATTTTTGTCCTTTATTAAAAAAAATCATTAGGATATTATTCTGAGAGTTTAATATCAATCTGCCATCTCCAAAGTTTCTGGTGATGACAGCTTTCAGAGAGGCCGATATGTTCTTAGATTCGGGTTGCAAAGGGGCATGGGCATACAGCCTCAGATATGTTCGTATCACGGAACCTTTAAGATATTTATCCAACTGATTGAAGCTTTAAAACCGTACGAATACTCTTTTTGAGAGAAGCGACATGAAGAAACAACTTTTCTTTTCTCGTTCAATGAATTTTTTAAAAGATAAAACCTTTTTTTTAATCTAGTACTTGAATCGAATGCTTGTTCATAAATTTAGAATTCCCATTCATCAAATAAACTGCATGTAGTGGGAGTAATGTGAGGAATTAGTGAAAGTAGAAAAGACCACAGCAATGAAAAAAAGTTCAGAGCTCAATGACAGAAGCCAATCCATCATGTATTAGGCAAGTATCATGCAGTCAGATTAGCAGACTAAGGGTTTCTCTCTCTCTCTTTCTCCCCCTCTCTCCTTTGTTGAAGAGAAAAAGAAGACAGGTTCCCTCACGTAATGGAGAACCCGAATGCAAGAACTTCCTAGAGAGATGACTTTCTGCTCAAAGCTTCACCTTCAAAACGTTTCCAGAGATGACAGTTAATATTGAGCACCCAGGGTTGAAAATGATACATGATTGAAAAAAGGGGAGCCCTGGCAGCTGTTCATAATGATTCTTCTGTATAGGCTTTTGATTGCTAGCAATCACATGATCCTAAAGGCTTTTGATTGGAAAATAGCGTATAGCTACGTATTCAGTGAAATCTTCGTAAAGGCTTCGGCTTAGAAATCATAGAAATGTCTCCAAGTCTCTATAATGACGCTTTGCTAGAAGGAGAATCAAGAAAAACCTGCATCAAGTTTTTCAAAGAAGAAGAGGCGTGACAGGTTAATGGATCAGTGCAAAGAATGACAACTAAAGAAATATATGCAAGAAGTTTTCGGAGTCGTCTGAACTACTCAAGAAACTTTCCTACAAAAACCCTTCCGTAATCAGAAGATCGTTGTGGGCACCGCCCAGAGGAAGATGGCATCAGAACAGTTGAATGACTACCATGATCTCGTGAGAAACAGCTGCTGGGCTCCCCGATCTAGAAAGATTTCTGCTTAAAATTCAAATGAGAACAGAAAAAATTAATCACTGATAGCGTGCTCATCTCGAAACATGAATCGGCGATGAAGAGTCTTTGGGGTTCCTAATCGTTGTTTTTTAAATACCAAGCAATGCGCTATTTTTAATTTTGAGGCATGAATCGGCGAGTGGGGAATGACTCGGTCGCAAGGAATTCTACTCTCCAATTCAAATGGCGAGGAAATTCCACGCTCGAATGAGAAGTTGCAGCATATGCAGAACATCAACAGAGTGCCAGAGGAATTTGGAGATCGGAAAACGGTGTACACAAGGAGGACGCCCCTGATGAGCAGTCATGGAGGCAGATAAGACGAAGGTCCCAAAGTTTTTGAACCGGAGGCCGTCTGAGTTGGATTAAAGAGGAGAGGAGGAAGATTCATCCAAGGAGGTGGAAGCAGATACGAGGGGCAGCTGATCCAACCCGGCGCGGGACGGCCTCCTCACCTCACCACAACCTCCCCCTCCGCGTCCTTCTGTGAGATGGGATTCTTCTCCAACCTTCACGCGATTCGATCGAAGTTGTACGCTCCGGCAGGACTACCTCCTCTCCTGATCCTCTTCACCTGCTGGACCTACCCGAGCCGGAAGGAAGAGCGCAAGGCAGATGGATAGATACCTGATCGGAGGAGAACTCTAGGATTGCCGACGGGGTTCGGTGAAGCTCTACCTTCTTATGGCGATGGCGATGCGCGCGCGCGCGCGCGCGCGCGCGAGAGAGAGAGAGAGAGAGAGAGAGAGAGAGAGAGAGAGAGGAGAGAGAGAAGAGAGAAGAGAGAGGGGAGAGCAAGAGAAAAGCTGTTACCGCCAAGATCTGGCTTATCCTTGCATTAACAGTATTTAATGGGCCGTGAAACGGGCCGGATCGGGCCCAGTTCCATCCAGTCCTGACTCTATTCAACCCACTTCCAAAAGACCAAGCCATTATTGCCACGTGGCATCCTAATCCCACCACCTCTCTCTCTTTCTCTCGCTACATCATGGCCGAAGTCCGGGCTCGGCCGATCCGCCAAGCCTAGAGGGCCGGGCTCACGTAGTACATAGCGGGCCACGGGGAGCGCTTACGAACCTTCGGGCTTAACCAAGTATCGGGCCGGGCTGATCAACGATTTCGCTCATTTCCAAAGGGCTCCGTAGAAATCGGGTACGAAGAAGGAATGGCTGTAGAAGAGCAGTGTAAGAAGGTCACTGGGGGCCACTCTTCTGGATTCTCCTCTGGGCGAGGTGAAGGGGAAGGGGAAGAAGGTGGGGGGGGGACCATGCACACCGGTAGGTGATGATAATCCATGGTGTCGCTACCTAGAGTGGTCCTGGCCTGAAACTACGGAGAAGAAGAAGGGAAAGGGGGAGAGACCGAGGCTGTAGAATGTGGACGGGGCTTGGAAGCCTCGTTGCCGCGGCTGTGCCATGGCCTTGGCGGAGGCGGCCACAGGGACGAAGCTATGGAGGGAAGGAGCTCCCTCATCTGCCGTTGGTGCTTCGCCTCTGGGAGGTGCTCCCCGGGCGGGGGCGCCGCGCGGTACCCGGCGGCGCCGCCTGGGATGGGTCGGTGGCCAGTCGCCGCTTCCGCGTGCGCTGCGGTGGTGGCGTCGCTCCTGGGTCGTCGCTGTTCAGAGATGCTGGCGCGACGGTGCTGGTGATGGTCGGGGCCTACGCCCTTGTCCGCGCATTTGACGTCCTCACCGCCCGTAAAATTGTCGACCAGGTCTCTATCTCTCTCTCTCTCGCTATCTCCCTTTTCATTCCAAAAAGGGTAAGCGTTTTCATTCCATAAAGGGTAAAGAGGGTCGGCGAGAGCTTGCATTTTCCTCTGTTTCTTCTATCTTAGTGCGAACTTTCTTCCAAATTTCGTGGCTACCACCGAGCTGAATGAAGTCGATTTGGGGTTCAGCTCAGTTTGAAGTAATGGAGTCGTGCTGAATGATTCATATAATTAGGGAAAGGGATAGGTTAAATGATCCACTAACCTCTTAGGAATGGAGAGATTTGATGAAACACTTAAGCTTTTAGCTGTTTCTGAGGCAGTCGCCTTGATTTCGATCTTGTTACAAGTTGTAGAAACGATGAGCATGGATAATTAAAGGGTGAAAAACCGAAATCTTGACCCAGAGCTCAAAATCCCTGATGTTCCTCTCCAGGGAGAAAAATTAACCAAGGTTGATAATCTTTTGTTATTAATTCGATCTGAGCCTTGGGCTCCCTCAACTGAATCCATTTAAGGTAATAACAAATGGGTAATGGATTGTGTTTTGGTATCAGAAGAAACATCGGAGAGCCCCACTGAATCCTTTGAAGATGATCCAAACTGGTGTGCATTCAGATTTGTGGAAATCTTTTCTTTGGTTTGGACATTGGGAACTTGCTTTGTTTGTTTAATTGCTAATATCAAACCCAAAAGCGTGGTGTTGATCACTGTTCATTTGGAGTCAGATTATAGGGCTAGAGTTGACTGAGCATTGCATAAATTCTGAGGACGAATGCTCTCCAATGAATAGTTCCTGATGAAACAGAGAGGCCAGTCATAGAAAAAAGATTCTATCATGTCTCCTGGCCATCAATCTACAGTCTTCCTTCTCTCTATAATAATCAGATATCACGGCTAAGCTGACTAGAAATCTCTGAAAAATCAGGGGATAATTTGGAATACTAGTGAGGGTTATTTTCAAGTTGAAAACTGTGGTCTTCCGTAAAGAAAGGCTTCTCAGAATTCCTATTTATTTCCTATCTAGGGCAGAAGGTGAGCAGAAAGGTCGTCCATGTTCTGTCAGGGATACTATTCATGTCTTCATGGCCGATTTTCAGGTGCCCCTTCCTCCCCGATTCCTTGAAATCCTCCATGCATACTGGTTTTACTTCTGAATGTTACACTGATAGCCATCTTTCTGGTCCTCAGCTCCTCGCTGGAGGCCCGCCTGTTTGCCTCCCTGGTTCCCCTGTTAAACTGCCTGAGGCTTGTTATTTATGGCTTCTCCCTGGCGACCGACGAGGGGCTGATCAAATCTGTCACCCGAGAGGGGAAACCTGAGTACTCTCCCCCGCTCCTTCCCATTCCTCTCATCTGCTCACCTGCCCGCTTTGAACGCTGGAGATGGGCTTTTTCTCTTCAAAGCTTCTTGTTTTTTCTTGCAGGGAATTGCTCCGAGGCCCTCTCTATTATGTTCTTGTCTTGATGTTCTGTGCCCTGATCTACTGGCGGGATTCTCCTGTGGGGGTCATCGCCCTGTCTATGATGAGTGGTGGTGATGGTAACCTCTTCGTCCATTGGCTTCATGTTTCTTCGTGATCTGGCTCTGATAAGGAGCCCACCCCTCCCCAGCCAGCCCCAACCCTCTTCCTCTTCGTCTTCGTCTTCTTGGTAGGGGTCGCCGACATAATGGGGAGGAAGTTTGGAGCGATCAAGCTCCCGTACAATAAACAGAAGAGCTGGGTCGGGAGCATATGCATGTTTGCCTCTGGCTTCTCCCTCTCAATGGGGTAAGTCTCTTATCTGTTTGACTTTGTCAGTTTGTTCGGCTCCAATTAGTCAGGAAGGGAAAGTCAACTCTGGGTTTCTGATCTGCTTCCCTGCAGGATGCTCTACTACTTCTCCTCTCTAGGGTACCTCGAGCTGGAGTGGGGAGAGGCGGTGAAGAACGTCGCCTTGGTCTCTCTGGCGGCGACGGCGGTGGAGTCGCTGCCCATCACCGATGTCCTTGACGACAACATCTCGGTGCCTCTGTTGAGCATGCTGGTGGCTTCATTGCTTTTTGGCTTCCAAACCCACTGAGCCTCCTCCTCCTCCTCCTCCTCCTGGTACAGAATTAGTTATCTCTTGATTCGGATGAGTGCCCTCAACCAAGCACATGTTACAGCAACTGGTTTACTTAAATAGGATTTATTTATTTTCCCATAAAAGGAAAAGAAAGGAGGATTGAGATACAGGCGGAAGGGTAGACTAGTGGGGTCTGCTTGGATTTCAGTGTGACTTCTCTCTAGTCTTCTTTGAAAAAAATAAATAAATAGATAAAAGCACTTGAAGATCTTATCTGTTTTCTGGAATATACTTGAACCCTGCCCAAATTAAAGCTATTCCTGTGCAGGTTCCTTCGATTTATGATATATGGCAGAGGGTAGCTGGCCAGAATGCAGCTGGCCAGGTTGCAGCCGGTCAGAACGTAGCGTGACAGAGAGTATGTGGTGATGTGCTCACGGACAAAGTTAGCTGGTCAGAACGTGCCTGACAAAAGACAGAGCCGCCGACGTCACTATGACCAGGAAAGAGAGATGGAGGGTTATAAATGTAAATTCTATTTACAATATATATAAAAGTTATAGAATCTGGATTGGCTTGATTTTCCGGACTTGGGACTAAAAATCGTGTGTTGAATCGTCATCAATTCTGCCTCAACTCTAGACTTTCTGGGGCACTTTGAGATGACTCTTGTTCCAATTTTTAAAAAATGCAAGGGTAAAATAGTTACTTTATACGATTAATAGATTGGTTTGCAAACATAGATACAATGATGTCTTGTGTTATAAACCTTATAAGAGCCAATCCATGTGGTATTGAAAGGTGGTTAGAAGAACCAAGGAAGAAAGTTAAAAATAGGAAAAATAGATAATAATAAAAAACTTGAGTAATTGTGAAATTAGTTATTTGGTGTTCAGAAATTGTTGTTGAAAGAATTATGAATAATTAATCTTTAATGGAAGGAGTTTTTAGATATCCTTAAGAGCGTTTACTAAATAAAGTTATTGTCTCTACATTTTTCATATTGAAGGCTCACACTCTCTTGCCAAGGAAGCTTTAATACTAGTTTCAAGTTTGAAGATTTTATTTATTATCAATAAATAGTTCATAATGGTATGTTACTATTACTAGTCATGAGATTTGACATAATTGATTTCTAGACTTATCAATTCAGAATGGTAAGAAAGGCCTGCTTATACCTTTAGTTTTTAGTAGAACTTAAAAGATGGGCTCATAAACCTGTAGAGTAGGTAAAAAATGCTAAACCAATGTAAGAATTCTGCATTTTTCTTACCTTGAAAAATCTCATTCATCCTATTTGTAGACTTGAACAACCCTAAATGTTCCATTGACTTAGTAAAAAGCATCATTTCATCTCTCCCCCTTAGTTTCTACCATAACCCACTTTTAGGACTAGGATCTATGAGTAACAACATTTTCTCATATAATTGATCAATGTTCATTCAATCAAGTAATCTTGATCATCTCATCACTCTTTCCTATCCACATGCCCAAGTAAACTTATACTCTATATCTGAACATGGATGAGGAATAGAAAAACCTACCATCATGTTTAATGTTGTTCCTATGTTTGAAGTTATTTTTTTAAATTTAATGTCTTGTTTATTTTTTTTGGAAAGAGTAGAAGACGTTTTATCTTTTATGCTTCAAGAACGACAATTCTATATTTAAATCACTTAAAAAGTCAAACATCTCTCAAGTGAGGTTGGACTATAGATTTCTGGAAACATAAGCTTGTGAGATGGTAGGTTCTATTTATTTAATTATAGTTAAATGACTACTAAATGTCAAATATCTATGAGAAATGTGTCACATGTGATGTTGACAAAAAAATTAGGGAATAATATTTTCCCAATGTGGATAGTAAATTTTATTGACATTTTAAAAATGAATTTAGACTACCTTATGAAATATTTTTATTTTTCATAGTTTCCATCCAAAAGATGTATGGTTGGATCATGTTGAAGCAATGAGAGCATTATAACATTTGACTTTATGTAAGGCTTCAGCTCTTCACGTTTCATACCCACAGTCTAAATGCCCTCATAAAACAATCATTGAACATGTAAATAAAACATAAGATATATACCCTTTCTGATTATTTATAGTTAAATTTACTACGTAAGAAATTATTTCAATGCCTCAATTATTTGGGAATTAATTAAAGTCTGAAAAGCATTTAATGAATTTATAAATTTGGTTTTTTATCAAGAAATATAAAATCTATTTGTTTGATATAAATTTCATTATGGAATGATCGTTCTAGAAAATACTTTTTATGCTGATATAATCGATAAACATATTATGGAACTCAAAGAGGGCTGTTAATACTTCACTCAAATTCTATCAGCCTTGCTCGGATACTTATCAGGTTATCTCCCACTTCCAACCAAGATCTCCATCTTCCCTTTTCAGTGGCAGTAGCAATAAAATTGTTCAAGTGAAATGGAAATATTATCACCATTGTATTAAAAATTAGGAAGCAGACTACTTTACTAATTATTATTTTTATTTTCGTATATTTGATAACTGTTCATTACGCCACTTGTGTGCTCCATAGAAGATTTATTTAAAGCCATTTATTGGTCTCATAAGTAATTGGTCGTTTCCCGCGCAGTGACCTCATAAGTAATCAGACCTGCTGATTATTAATGCAGCCAGCGGACATGGCTCCTGTAACTCGAGGACTCTGGAGGTCTGGAGGGGCTCCTCTACTCTTTCACCTTCTGTCTCAGGTATTAGTTGACTTGGTCTCAAACGCTTGCTGTGTTACCGTCTCACTTTCTCTCTCCCTCTCTCGCTGTGGCTCTATACACATTTACATATACACCGAGATGGAGACTCATGGGACCCACCTTCAAGAGATGGGAATATTTTATGCAAGCAGATAAGCACGATTGATGCCTTGCGTTCACATCCTAATGACTCTTACCCCACTTTCTCGGGGCCATATCTCAACGCTTATACAGACCACAATATGAGAAAATTAAAAATAAATGTGACCTGAACTCTCTCTCTCTCTCTCTCTCTCTCTACCTCCCCCCGTCTTTATGCTTCTCGACTAATCCCTTCTCCCAGGCGACGCATCCTCTCTTTCTGGCAGCAATATCTCAACGCTTATACGGACCATAATATGTGACAACTAAAAATAAATAAAGCCTCAAAAAATATTAACAAAAAAGACAGAAAATTCGATTGCCCCAAAAGCCATTGAAGCCTACATTACGTACATCACTCATAAGCTATAAACGGCAACCTGCCCAATTCTGTTTCCCCACGTCGTCCTCAATTTTCTCTCTGCTCTCTCTCCCTTGGTCAACCACCAACGCCAACATGAAGGATATTGATGCCATAAAACTTCTACAAAACTCCGCCGAAAAACTGATAGAAAGAAACTCATTACCAACATTTAGTAGGAGATGGGCACCACATCTCTCTCTCTCTCTCTCTCTCTCTCTCTCTCTCTCTCTCTCTTCGTCTTTATTCTATTCCAGTCGACTACCCCCTTCTTTGTGGCTCTCAAAAGTCCAACCCCCCCCCCCCCGGCCTTCTCCGGCTCTCTGTCTCTCCCCCCTCGAGGACCGCTCCAAAGGTAGGACAGCAGTGAGACGGGCCCACGCTCGAAATGCGGCTTATGAATTTTTGCCTCTGCTCGCACTTCAACCCATTTTCTGAACTTTTTCCTGAACCCCCGCATTAAAGCCGAACGTCACAGTGCCAATATCTAAGAGAGAAAGAGAGAGAGAGAGGCCTCTCGTTTCCGTCCTCTCGTCTTTCGTGGTTCTGGTTATATCTAGCCCCTCTATTTTCTGATGTCTGAGAGATCCCCGGTGGCTCTTGATTTCCGATCCTTTTAGTCGTGGTCTTGTTCACCAACTTACCCTTCGGTTTCCATTTCATTCAATTAAACGTCACCTCTCTCTCTCTCTCTCTCTCTTTATCTCTGTACGGTTGGCAAAAGTCAAAGGAAGCTCTTTCCATGTTATAGGTGGCCAAGGGAACGCACGCCGGCGGCCGTTTGGAGGTCTTTGACACGATATAGTGAGGTCAAAGAGAGAGGGAGAGATAGATACGTAGATAGATAGATAGATAGATAGATAGATAGATAGATAGATAGTGAGTGAGAGAGAGAGAGAGCATTGAATTAAACATGATTCCCACAGATATAATTAACCATAACTAATACGGCAATTTAAAGAGAAAAAATATTACATTATATTTGAAGGCTTTGATGGTTCAGAAGTGAGAAATAGCTCAATGACGAGAACTGAGGAATTTCCTAGCTACATTTCAGTATCATGTTTTGACACGTCTTAACTCCCTTTCTTGGGCTCTTCTTCCACCCTAATTCTTGCCGATGAAAGTCAAAATAATATATTTTTATGTCATATGCGCTTAATTAAAAAAACATATTCTCAATACGTGTTTGAAAAGGTTCAAATGACGTTGAATAAACCAGTTACTTATTAGTTCAGTGGGCTTGGAAGATGATTTTTCTTGAGGGATCAAGTTCTTTCTGTGTCCATCTCGCCCGTGGCCGTAGGGGCCTTTGAGTTGACCCGGTCAACCGTAGAACATAGTATTAGTTGACAGCACAGAGCAGAAAATTCGTCCTGGCCATTCAGTGCTTGAGAACGTTTCCCCGTGGGTCCTAGTGAGACTTGGGGTCTCCTACCTTCCCTTTCGGTTCTCTCTCTCTCCCTCTGTGTATTTCTCTCTCTGTGTTCTCTGTCTCTGTAGGTGGCATAAACATAGTCAATGTGTCGGCGGGTGCCATGGGAACGTCCTGTGAGCGTTCACCGTGGGATATTTATTGACCTCGTGTCTAGAGTGGTCCACGTGGGCTTAACATCAACCTTTTTTTGAAGCGTTCCGTAAGGGAATAATCCACCTGTACTCAACCGATCTCTCTCTCTCTCTCTCTCGCATAGATCTCGGCTTTTGATCAACGGCGCGATCGCCCAAGCGGGATGAATTTGAACCACTTATGAGAGAGAGAGAGAGAGAGAGAGACAGAGGAGGTGCCGTGTGGGTGACCGAGGGACACGGAAAAAAGATGCCGACTTGCGGACTTCAGAGGCTCCCATAAAGAAGAGCGAGAGAGAAAGGAGAGAGAGAAGAGGGGGGGGGGAGAGAGAGAGGGGTTTAAACGGAGCCCAGGAGGACTACATTCAGCAACACAGAGAGAGAGAGAGAGGGAGGGGGAGAGAGAGAAAGAGAGGGGAGAAGGATCAGGGATTGCGGTTTGGGGAGGGGATGGGGGGAAGCAGAAGAGGAGGTGGTTGCGGGGGGGAGGAAGATGAGCCCGTGAGTCCAGCTGGGCGATTCTTCCTACAACCGGAGATGGACCAGGTGATCAATTCCGTCTTCGGCTTCGAGAACCCCATCGACATTCCCGCCGTCAAGGCCGAGTGCCAGCGGACCCTCATCCGTTTCCACCCTCGTCTGCGTTGCCTCCTTGTAAGCAAAGCAAAGTCTATATCTTCCCCTCTTCTTCCCCTCTTCTTCCCCTTCCCTTATTCTCCAATTCGGATCCTCAGGTGACAGACAAGAAAGGGCGGGAGCACTGGCGGCCGGCGCCGGCGTTCGACATGGACGACCACGTGCTCGTCGTCCCCGAAGAAGACGACGACGGTAGCGAGAGCTACGTCAGCGATTACGTGGCGGCGCTGACCGTCTCAACGCCGCTCAGCATGGAGAAGCCGCTGTGGAAGATGCACATCCTTCCGAGCCGGCGCTGCATCGTCCTGCGGCTGCACCACGCCCTCGGCGACGGCGTCTCTCTCATGTCCCTCTTTCTCGCCTCGTGCGAGCGCACCGACGACCCATCTCTGCCGGTGACCATCCCCGGGGACGGCCCACGGGGTAAGAAAGCTCCGCTCACGGCCCTCTCTCTGGTGGCGCTCCTCTGGAGGGCCCTGAAGGTGGCCTTCTTCACCTTCTTCTTCGTCGTGAATTTCCTTCTTCACGCCGCCTGGGAAAAGGACGAGCCCAACCCGATCTCCGGCGGCGCCGGCGTCGAGCTCTGGCCCCGGAAGCTGGTGACGGTGACCTTCGACCTCGATGATATCAAGACCGTCAAGGCGAGGCTCAACGGGGTACGCTCAGCTGTCTGATCACCTCTCCTGCTTAATTACGTACTTCATTTTACGTCAATTACGTCAACGTCATTATCCCGATCATAATTATGATATCTTGGCGGAGGGTCAGCCGCTCCAGGGTGGGGTCCACCACCAGCAGCACGGGATCCAGCCTGGGTTGCGATTAGTTTCCCTGGAGGAGATGGAAGATGACGAACGCGTACTTTTAAGGATTATTTACCTCTAAACCCCCACCCCGTAAAAACCTTGATTACTGGCCGGATGGATGGATGTGGTTCTATCCCAGGAACATCTTTGCTTTCAGTTTTTCACCTAAAGAAAAATTCGTTATATTTGAAGGAAAAATCGTTGAGTTACTCTTTTTATATTAGATGCATTCGGGAGATTTTAAAATAATTAAGAATATGCCACGTTATATGGTTTGAAGATAAGGTCTAAATGAAAAATGCATAACTTCGTACCCAAACCTTGTGTACTTTATTCAATATTTCTAAAGGCTTTTATTTCACTCTATTTGCTGGTATAATTAGGTTTGTTAGGTTTTCATTGGTTAATAGACACGGTTATTACAACTATGCTTAATTATCTTGTTGAGAGAGAGAGAGAGAGAGAGAGAGAGAGAGAGAGAGAGAGAGAGAGAGAGAACCGACAGAGAAAAAATACCTTACCTTTTTTAATTTATAACAAAAGATGTGCTTAGTTTAATATTTTGTATTCTCAATTATTTTTACTAATGGATGTTTTTTTTGTACAATCTTTAGACAATTAATGATGTTCTTGTTGGGATCATAGCTAGTGGATTGGCAAAATATTTTAAGTTGAGCTCTTCCAAAGGTATTACACATGAATATTTCCTTCACATATTTTCAATTAATCTCAATTGCTTTTTGCTTTTTTGATCAAAATTAATATATCTTTATCTTCTACAGAATCAAAAAGCAATCTTGGCATTACTGGAGTAGCAATGGTTAATACAAGAGAAACGCATGGCCTACAGGTTTTAAACTTAGTTCTTTCTAATCTTTTGGTATAAATATTTGGGTGTCTTTCACACTTCCTAATTGAAGTTAAAAGGGAAAAATGTTTTGCCTTAACATGTGAGTTAATTTAATAGTTGATCTTGGGAAGGTTCACTGATGTGTTTTCTTTTAACTCCATTCCTGAAAACATTTGACATTCCTAAAGAGCATATGATTTTATATTTTCTAAAATATTATTTCTTGGATATTTTTTTTAAATTGGTTGCAAGCAGTTCAGTTTTATCAATGGATTGGTTAGAAGGTCAATTATGGATTATAAATAAATAATAAATGTAAGAATACTAACATAGTTCAATAAATATACACAGAAAATTTGCAAAGTTTTTTAAGGAAATTTATTCATTCCATGTTATGCACACATTCAAAGGTATAAAGGTATGGGATTGGTATTTAGTTCTCAGTGTGAACACTAACTCTATTTTTATCTCAACACCATTGACAAGGTGAGAAAAAGACATGTTGGATGAAAAATAGTTTTTTCAACCAGTTACTTCATAAGTTGTAAGATTGTTTTAGTCAATGTTCAGAGGTCATATAATTTCATCTTGAAATTATAAGTCATTGTTATCAGCATAACTTTTCTTTAAGATTCTCTTCTTTTAGTTGGGTTGTTGTGACATTTATCAATCTTATGAGGAACTTGTCTTCTTACAAACAATAATTTTTTACTATGACGATTATTGAAGGATTTCTTCAGGAAGATTAAAGAAGGAAAATTAGAATGGGGGAACCGATTTGGTTTTGTTCTGCTACCCATATGTTTGCATAAGAGTGTTCATAATCCTCTTGAATATGTACATCAAGCAAAGGCTCTCCTTAGTCGGAAGAAGCAATCTTTGGAGGCACACTTTGCATACCACGGTGGTGCCCTAATAATGTCCATTTTTGGTCCAAAGGTAATTATTAATGTTGAGATTAGACCCAATATGTTCTATATAGCTTCATTAACTAATCTTATTATCATCATTATTACTATTATTATTTATTTCTATCTTGGTTCCTTACATTTTATGAGCTTTACATTTTCAGGTTGCAACATTACTCAATTATAGGATTCTTTGTAACACAAGCTTTACATTATCCAATCTTGTGGGTCCCTCTGAAGAAATAATGTTCGTGAAGAATCCTATCACTTATATCAGGGCTACTTCAAGTGGTTTACCGCATGTGGGTGTTTCTCTCAACCATGGTTCTTCTACTAGTTTTATTATAAAAATAAATGTGAATTTAGATCTGATGACCCTTGATCCTTGTGGTGGCTTTGTAGGCACTCATAATTCACATGATCAGTTATAATGGCAAGGCAGACTTACAACTTCTTGTGGCCAAGGATATAATTCATGACCCAGAGACACTTGCCAAGTGTTTTGAGGACACGCTTAAGGAAATGAAGCTGTTATCTATTACCAAGATTTAGCAAAGTTTCACTTTTTCCACTTTGATAGCAATAAATATGAAGCACAATGAAAAGGAGTGTAAAAAATTTACTAGAGTAATCACGAGGGGACAACATGGTTGCCATTGTATAATGATGATGTTTTCTTATAGGTATTTTTTCATATTTAGGAGAAAATTCAATTAGCAAGATAGTGCTCAATATTGATATATGTGGAGAATGATCACTCTCATTTGGTGATCTGAGTACGTAGTGATTTGGTTGGAAGTTCATGAGGCACAACCTAAGTATAGAATTTGATTTAAGAACAATTGTGTATTTTGTCCATATGTGGTTACCCAAACCTTAGATTATAAATAGGGGGCAACTCTCACCAATGTAAGAGGGCTGAACGTGGAGTGACATTCTTCTCACTAGAAGATTTTTGCGTGTCTTTGAAAGAGTTGCTCTAGTTTTATCATGGTACTCTTCTCATGCCTAGCTTTTTTTTATCAAAACTATATACCAAGCACAATCACAATGAAATACTTGAAATGTACTCTATTTCATAGCTCTATGAAGCTGTACATGACATAGGTAACCTAGGTCTGCCCTATTGGAACATTAGGTAATTAATATTTGGATGATGACAAATAAATATGATATCAATTCATGGATCAAATATGCTACATGTTCATTGTGCATGAATTATGAATAAATACTATTTTAGGCATGGGTATTGATTTAACTCAATATAAATTCAAGATAATCAAAATAATATTGTCAATATTTTTTAATAGAATTTGAGGCATGCATTTGAATCTCATACTATTGAATTATGGAATTTGGTAGATTTTATTACTTCAAATCATTGCTTTTTTTATTAATGTTAGAATCACTAGTATTATAGAAACTATAATTTGGTGAAAGTAATGATTAACACATCATAATTAATGAGAATTGTTAGACACAAATATTAGTATGAAAACTTACATCGTCTACTAGATACTCATGATACTAAATCATTACTTTTGATTATTTTGATATTGAGTTAATGTATTGAATCTAAAGTGTTTAATCAACTACTTATGATTTTTGGAATAGTAATAAAAATTGGCTAGAACATGGCTCTATAGTAGGTTATGTTGACAAACTTTATGATTGTTCATATTGAGACCATGTTTAATATGTTTATTGGCTAAATTTGTGACTTTTTGAGAAAAAATGAATTAAAGATAAATGCAGGATCATTACTTTATTTTGAGATGTATTATCACTTTTGTTTCAATGATGATGGATTATTACTAGAGTTAGTTGAATTGATAGGCTTTGGATATATGCATCAACAATTACTGATCCTATGTATTGATTTCTCTTAGAGGATATCTAAGCCCTTAGAAGTTATGTTGTATTGGTTTTTGAGTGTTTAAACTTTCAATGAAATTTAAGATCTTAACATTGAGAGATGGCAAGAAACAATATAAGTTTTTGAATTAAATTTCACTAAAATTCAATACTTATTCAACAACTAAGTAGTTGTGAACAATCACCTTGTATCTATCATCTCTAGATTATTACTGAGATTTTCATTAGAGAAATACTTGTAAAGTTAAACTATTGTCAAAGCTTGGTCAAACAATGAGAAGAGGCTGAGTTGAGGAGCTGAAGTCAATTGGTTCAAATTCTTTCTCAACTTAGTTGAAGTGAAATAGTTTTCTAGAATAAATCAGTTTCCCTACATGACAAGGACAGAAAATCAAGCATCACTTGTCATCATCTTCATCAAATTTATAATCACATTCAAACTTAATGCCAAAAATCTGAAAATAACTTATAGTGAAATCTTTTTTTATTTTGAGTTAAAAAAATTATGATTAAATATTAATGTAATCACTTAAAGTAAATTCTATACTCCATGGTGGGTCTCATTTGAGGTTATTCCTTCACTTATTTGAATTTCAAGTCATTTTTTCTTTTGAGCTCCAATTGATGTGGTTTTGGAGGGACCAAGCTATGTTAATCTTAATGTGTTTTAGAAGGCCATTATGATTTTAATAGATAATTATAAGATGAATTATATGGGATCTGAACTCAACAATCAATTAGTGTTTTGCTAAATGGTTGGTTTAGTGGAAACTAAGAACAAAGTGTGTTAGAACTATAGACAGATAGAGGTTTGAATCACTATACAAATTATTGAGTGTCTTATATATATTTAGAAAAATTGTAAGATTTATGATCAAATAGAAAAGATTAAGTAATTTAAAAGTAATTGACCAAAATTAAAATTATAATTTGATCAATTCATCTCCCTCTTCCCATCCTTTCTTGATTTAAATGCTGTCTAAAATGAAACTTACTTTGTTATGAATCTGTCATCAAGATAAATAGATGGGTATGTTGGTAGGTAGTTAGGTAATAAATAGATAGTTTCTAAATAGATGTGTGGATATGTAGATTGATGGGTAATGGGTAGATAGGTCGAGGTTATACAGATGGATAGTTAAGAGATAGTTTGATATATATGTAGATAAATAGATATATATATACATATAGAGATATAGCCGGATGGATAGGGAGAGAGAGAGAGAGAGATGGGCTGCTATGGTGGTAATCAATAAAACATTCATAGGGTTCAACAAGGCCATTGGTGCAACAAATTAAGAAAGAAAATAATTTAAAAAAACTATAAGTGACCATGAGAACCAAGATAAAAGCTTATACGTGTTTTTTAATGTCTTTATATTGAGTTCTAATCATATGTGCCTCTTTCTCTAGTGCCATATGAGTATGATTTCAAGGGTTATGAACTGGATACTTATGATCTGACCTGAAGTAGTGAAGATATCTGATTTTTTTTTGCAATTACCATCATCTTATGTATTGTAGTAGTTTATGATGCATTGTATTATTTACTTGGTTGCTGGTGTGTATTATTTGACTCATAATCATGTTCAAGGGTGTGTGGACGTCTATTTTATCGATTTTTCAAGTTTTTTTCCGACATCTAATTTTTCAGATTTTAGGTTTATAAATAAGTTCTTGATTTACCTGCTGAGATTTTCTTTAATGGATCTAAATGTGATGTTGGCATGTGTTTTTCCAAAATTTAGAAAAAGTTTTGAGGTGATTTCCTGGCTATAACAAGCTCTGAGATTACTTTCAGAAATTACTGCTAGCTGGGATCGCCATCTACCTTGAAATATGATACCATACTTTTCCAAATACTGATCAGTAAATTCCTAGTATGCTCCTACTCTACGTTATGAAAGTGTTAGATCTGCTTGTTCAAGACCCCTGGTGCTACAAAGGATAGCTCACTGGGAAAGTGAGGCACTGCAAGGGACGCTGAATTTTGATGCTTTTATTCACAAATTTGTCAGAGAAATTGTCATATCCGTCAGGAAGAATTTGATCATGCTCTGAGGATTTCTGACTATCATGAGATGAAATAAGAAAAAAAAAAAAAGAGCTACCACTCGGCGATAAAGCTTGAGATATGACCGGCTGCCAATAATTTAAATTAGCTTATACAAATCGTTCACTTGAAGATGTTGTGGGATGAGAGAAGAACTGCTGGCAGAACTACTCTAGATGGGTACGAATCGTCCACTGCTACTCCGTTGGGAAGAGCTGGGATTTAAACGCGTCTTCTCCAAAAAGCATCCATTTCCATTTATCGGAAAATATGAAATTTTACTAGAACATACGATATTAAATGCCATTCTACGCGATCATAAGTTGTGGCTCTCACGAGGATAAAACTTTCAGGGTATTCGATTCATCTCAAGGTTTTACGAAGCTATACACATTGTTTAACTAATCCACACTACATCACGGTCTCTGATAATCCACACTGCATTCTACTTTGTTTATCATACGTAAAATGGATAGCTTGGACAGCTCTCGCGAGTGGGGAGCGAAAGGCATCCATTGACTTGTTGCCAGATTGGAGGATGCAGTGGAGCATCGGTTGTGCCTCGTGAGTAGTGCCCATTGATGGGTATTATTCAACGTTGAGAATTTAATATTCCTGAAACACAGCTGCGTTTGACAAAGCTCCGCAGAGCCGACAAATTTGACCTTGAACATTCAAAAGAGTTGAACACAGCTTTCTTGGGTTGCGAAGTTCTTTGCATCGTATGACAGGCATCTACTTGGTAACCTAACCACACTACTCATTGTCAGCGAATTGCGCGGGTAATTTCAGTTAAGTTGAAATTTGTTCAAGGCGCTAGCACTAGAAAAACCAATACTGCGTGGAGAAGAATTGAGGTCAAGGCTAAATTAATCCGCCGTTAATGACGCATCAGTTGCTACTTTTATCATCGTGTCATGTTTATTTAATTTTATTAATCATATATTTATCAACATGGAAACGTAATTTTATCAACATGTATTTATCATATATTAATATATTTATCAACGTAATTAATATATTTAATCATATATTAATCATATATTTATCAACATGGCACATAACATTGACTAATCTGAGCTAAATATCGCATTTTTTGTGCGATATTTAGTTCAGATTATTCAGTTATGATCCAGAATGCCAGCGTTTGTGCCGTTCATGAATTAACTGATAGGAAAAAAAGGAAGTATCTATTGTTAGCAAGTGACATCGAATTTTTGTTTCAAACAAAAGGATAACCATTTAAGATAAACTGAGGTGTAAGTGAGACCCGAAAAGGAATAGCTTATTAAATTTATTTAAAAAATTAGTAAATTAATGAAGAAAAATCGATATAACATGAATTTAATCACGTATCTCTTTCTAAGTCCATGATCCGTCTCTCTTTCTTTCTTCCGCTGATATCTTTGATTATGAAATATTTTCGTTCAAACATCTCTAGCTCAGTCTTTCATACAATTTCTCTGATTATTAAATTCGATCACGGGTTATAAACCTGAAATGGTCAAACTGAACCTTTGAAAAGTCGAAATAAACGAATTAACAAGCTGAATATTTAGAATTTTCCGAAAGGGGGGTGGAAAATACCGTCGACACTGGGTCTTATTTGGCTGCGTCCTTCTAA